ACCCCATTATTCATTGCTAGTTATTTTTAAATAATTTTTTTTTTCGTGATCATTGGCATTATGTGACATGCACAGTGTGCTATACCGGCTATCGTCAACACTGTTACCTTCATCGTACACTCTGATTATATGCAAATTTTAATTTGATCAGTACAGTTAACTTCAATGAGGTTCGATGTCATACGTCTATATGTTCTATATTCATTCATTCTTAAACTCATAGACTCATACCAAATACTACAACGCGGTTTACCTTAGAAACAACTGGAAAAAACTCTCACAAATATAAAACGTGGCAAAAAAATGAAAAATAACCACTCGGGGTGTAATACAAGCTAAGCAATCAAATTTTCACACTATTAAGAAATTAACATTTACTGTTCAACGTTGTTTTTATCTTTTCGATATCGCAAATTAAAAAAGTTCTAATTGCTTGAAAATGCATTATCTTTTAGCTTTTCAAACTTTTTTATAGTTCTGACATCGAAAAAATAAAAAAAACGTCGCACGGGACAATATAATCACATTCTTATTGTGTTAAAATTTGGTTGCTTAGCTTAGACTACAGCCTGAGTAGTTCTTCCCCACGCAAAATAATTTTTTCTATGTCTTACCGATGTACAACACGGCAAATTTTACGTTCACAATAATACATTTTTGTAATCTCTAAGAATTATTAAAACTTAAGGTTTAGGTATACTAGTATACTACTGTATACTACACGAAACTATTAACATTGATTCTATAATTCATATTGCTATTAGCAATATTAACATAATTTAGTGTTCGTCACAATGCCATTAGGTACTAATTTTGTTATAATTAAATATTTATCAGTCTATCAGAAGTGTTCACGATTTAGTGAAAATCACGAATTGAGATTTCAGGTTTACTTAATAATTTATATTTATATATTAATAATTAATAATTCGTTAATTCGCATATCTTAATTTGTGTATAAAAATAAAATATATATTAATTTATCAATTCAGAGACGTCAGTGTTTTAAATTAACATAAATATACGTTCAAACATTGATTACTTAGGTATATAGGTGTCTGTGTACAGCATAACTAGTCGAAATAATGCTTCGATTTCAAACTTTGGGGGTGGTTTCCGATGTAAAATTGAAGATCCTTGGTTTATATAGAGGTCAAAAATAAACATTTTCCAACAGTTTTCAAAAAAAGCGAGAAAAACAAAAAAAAAATGACAGAAAAACGGGAATTTTTACGCAAAATCAGTTTTCGACCAAATCGATTTTTTTATATAGTTGTCATTCAAAAACTGTAAATACTTGA